ACCTGGCCTGGCTCTCCCAGTGGCTGCGCCAGCGCCCCACCATCGGGCTCTTCACCCAGTGCGCTGCTCCAGCCCAGCTCCGTGGCCTCAATGTGGCTGAGATCCAGAAGAATGAGTTCAGCTGCTCCGGTGAGGGGTACAGGGGAGGTGGCAGGTGCCAGCATGGGGACATGGGTTGGGGGAACAAAGCCTGTCCCATTCATACAGCCCACCTCCACCCACCTCCACTCCCTGCCACGTGCTCCAATTCAGAGCCTGGATGCACGCTGTGGACTTGGCTCAGGTCAGCACCATCCCTGCTACAGGGACAACATGGGGACAACAGCACCCTGTCATTGTGACAAAGGGTGCATCAGTCTGTGCCCTTGGAGCTGTGTGCCTTTTGCATGGTGCCAGGGTGCACCAGGACCTTGTGCACCCAGTCAAGGGTGCCGTGAGCTGTCCCAGCACGCCGAGCTGTCACCAAGGTCCCTTCCTGGGGGTGCTGCCATCCACCCGCCTGGCCTAGCTCTTTGTGACTCCCATGCTGGCTGCTTCCCTGGCAGGACAAACGGACCCGGCACGTGCCCAGCTCTGCAGCTTGTCCTCTGGCTCCTGCCCGGCCATGTGCACTTGCAGCAACGGCATCGTGGACTGTCGGGGCAAGGGGCTGACGGCCATCCCTGCCAACCTGCCCGAGACCATGACGGAGATGTGAGTATGGCCCTGCGCTGCCACTGCCGGGCTCTGGGTGGCTCGAGGCAGTGGGGACATGGGGACAAGCCCTACGGCTCAGCCATCCCACAGGGCAGCAGACCTTGCCCTTCTCCCGTGCTGCCCAGATTTAGCCCTGGATTTAGCTGCATTAAAAATGTAAATAGATAAATAATCTCCTCAGGGGAATCCAATTATGGAGCAAAGCCCCCGCCAGGATGGCACACAGAGTACATGGGAGGCAGCAGATGCTCCCAGACCCAGGGTGCTGGGGCGAAGGAGGTGCTCCCCACACCCCAGCCAGCATGGTCCCCCTACCCGTGGCAGCCCTTCCTATTGCAGACAACCCTGACCGCAGGGTTGTCTCCAACAACCTCTCTCTTCAAGTTGTCCCTGGGGTGAACAGTGGGGTAACTTACTGCAAGCCTGTGGGGGTTTTGCAACCCCCCAGACCTGTCAGTGGGTTGCTGGAGCTTGGCCAGCCCTATACCCCTCCTCTCTCCCCCTTCTCTCTGCAGACGCCTGGAACTCAATGGAATCAAGTCCATCCCCCCAGGTGCCTTCTCCCCTTACAAGAAGCTGCGGAGGATGTAAGTGTGAAGCTCCACCAGCCCACCCTGAACCCCAGCACCCTTCATCCTGCAAGCCATTGAGCCCGCAGCCCCCTACTCTGATGGGCATGGGGTACTTGCCATGACATGGGTGCCCCACATAGCAGCACTGCGATGGGGTCTCGGATGCCCCCAGCTCTGCATATAAGGTGTTGGAGGTGGTCCCTGGGCCCAGCAGGAGGATGGGGACATGGGGTGAAAGAAGAGGGATCTAAGCCACCTTCTCCCTTTGGGTTTCAGAGACCTGAGCAACAACCAGATCTCAGAGATTGCCCCTGACGCCTTCCAGGGGCTGCGCTCACTGAACTCGCTGTAAGTGCCCACACCGGGGTGTGTGTGGTGAGGTGGGGCAGGCACTGTGCCCACTGAACCATGCCCCACACTGCTCCCCCATCCCTCTCACACCAGCCTTTCTCTCCCAGGGTGCTGTATGGCAACAAGATCACGGACCTCCCCAAGAACGTCTTTGGGGGACTTTTCGCCCTGCAGCTGCTGTAAGGCACCGGTAGCTTGGTGGGATGCTCTGTAGGGACACTGGGAAGCGGAGCTGAGGATCCCAGCACCCATGGTGCAGTAGAGGGGGTCCCCAGGCTCACCTCTCTCCCTCCCTGCCAGGCTCCTCAATGCCAACAAGATCAACTGTGTGAGGGCAGATGCCTTCCAGGACCTGCAGAACCTGTCACTGCTCTCGCTCTACGACAACAAGATCCAGAGCCTGGCCAAGGGCACCTTCACCTCCCTGCGGGCCATCCAGACCCTGTGAGTGCCCGGGTTGTCACATGCCTGGGGGGAAGCATCTCAGCAGGTAGCCGGGGCTGGAGCTGGTGGTCAATCACTGCCACTGGCGGTGTGTCACCCCCTGTCCCCGGCACAGGCACCTGGCGCAGAACCCCTTTGTCTGTGACTGCAACCTGAAGTGGCTGGCAGATTTCCTCCGCGCCAACCCTGTCGAGACCAGCGGCGCCCGCTGCGCCAGCCCCCGGCGCTTGGCCAACAAGCGCATCGGCCAGATCAAGAGCAAGAAGTTTCGCTGCTCAGGTGAGAACTGTCCCCGTCCCCACCACAGGTGCCCTGCGGCACAGCTGTCCTCAGCCCTGCTCCAGCCTGGTGTCCATGTGCTAGGAGTGCTGATGTGCTTTTTTTCTCCACAGCCAAAGAGCAGTATTTCATCCCAGGTAAGAGGAAGAGCCGCACGTGTGTGTGTGTGTGTGGGGGAGCATGGTGCCCTTTTGGCCAGGCTGCCTCCCGGGGTGGTTATGCCAGAGCCCCGTGGTCTGGCCCAGCAGGACCACGCTGCATTTCCCATCGTTTCTGCTCTGTGGGTTCCCGGGTCCTGCAGTAACAAAAGCTCTGGGTACCGTCATGTGTCAGCACCTTCCATCGTACCCTTATCCAGATGGGCACAGGGGCGTCCCCGGGATCCAGCTCTGATTGCAGGAGGGGATGTGGTGGTGGTGGGCAGCACAGTGCCTCATGTGTCCAGGACAAATATCCCTGTGGATAAGCCACTTTGGGCACACAGAGGGGAATGTGGCTGGGATGGGAGTAGCTGTGGAAGAGACGGAGACTGGCTTCGGGTGTGGGAGGATTGGAGGAGGGGAGGGCAGGCACAGCCCCCTGTCCCTCTGCCCATGGGAGCCCACTTGCCCTCACTGGCGTGCAGGGACAGAGGATTACCAGCTGAACAGCGAGTGCAACAGTGACATGATCTGCCCCCCGAAGTGTCGCTGCGAATCTAACGTGGTTGAGTGCTCCAACCTGAAGCTCACCAAGATCCCAGAGCGCATCCCGCAGTCCACTGCCGAGCTGTAAGAGCCTCCTCCCTCCCACCCTGCTCCCCCTCCTGCAGCCAGAGCATCGCCAGCACTGGGATTTGGCTCAGGGTTTGGTCTGTGCCAGACCCTTCATGGCCATCTTCTGAGCTCTTTTCCCTACTGCTCACCTCAGGCGCCTGAACAACAATGAAATCTCTGTCCTGGAGGCCACTGGCATCTTCAAGAAACTCCCACATCTGAAGAAAATGTGAGTATTGGGCAGGCACAGCCCCACTGAGAGTGCCCAGGGGCTGGGTAGGCACGTGGGGGTCCTGATGCCAGGGCAGCCTGGGGTGTGAAATGTGGGGCATGTCCTGACCCGAGGGCTACTTGAAGGACTGGGCATCATGGGGTGCTTGGTGAGACGTGGGGGAGGCAGTTTCAAGATGAGGCCAGGGCAGAGCCCACTGTCTGAGCCTGCTTCCTCTTCTCGACAGCAACCTCAGCAATAACAAGGTGTCAGAGATCGAGGATGGGGCATTTGAGGGAGCATCCTCCGTCAGCGAGCTGCACCTCACTGTCAACCAGCTGGAGTCGGTGCGGAGCGGCATGTTCAGGGGCCTGGACGGGCTGAGGACCCTGTGAGTCTCCTCCGCCATGGGGATGAAGATGTCCCTGCTCCTTACTCCCCTGCCCTGCCTGTGCTGCTGGGCTGGTGCTGTCAGCATTGCTGTGGGCCCAGCTCAGGAGCACCTCACCCACCTGCTTGCCATATCCAGAGCTGGGGCAGGGGCTGTTTTTTGCTGCTCAGGCTCGTCCTGCTGCCCGGCAGTGAGATGGGCACAGCCCTGGCACTGCTGAGGTGGGTTTCCCCCGTGGTGCCCATCCAGGTCGTTAGGTGCCCTCGTCCCCTTCCCTCTGCAGGATGCTGAGGAACAACCGCATCAGCTGCATCCACAACGACAGCTTCACGGGGCTGCGCAACGTCCGCCTGCTCTCTCTGTACGACAACCAGATCAGCACCATCACGCCGGGTGCCTTTGACACGCTGCAGTCCCTCTCCACGCTGTACGTCTCAGGCCCTGGGGGGATGCTCCTAGGCTGTCCCCATGGTGGTGAGGGGCTGCAGGGGTCTCTTTGCCCAGCAGCTGCTCAGATGATGCCCTGGTGCTCCCTACTGTGTGCAGGAACCTGCTCGCCAACCCCTTCAACTGCAACTGCCAGCTGGCCTGGCTGGGGGACTGGCTGCGCAAGAGGAAGATTGTGACGGGGAACCCACGGTGCCAAAACCCCGACTTTCTCCGGCAGATCCCGCTCCAGGACGTGGCTTTCCCCGACTTCAGGTGTGAGGAAGGTAACTCACGGGCCCTGCGGTGCCAGGGCGAGGGGGAACTGGGTTGCTTTTCCCAAGCTGGAACCGCAGTCCCTGTCCCAGCACTGTCCCAGCTCCTGGGATGGGTGGCAGTACCCTGTGTTGAGCTGGTAGCTCGGGTGATCCCTCAGCCCATTAATGCCCTCCTCTAACGATGCTCGAGTTTCCCTTCGTGGTACCCAGCCCTTAGTGCTGCACTCAATACCCAGGAGCTGCTCTGAAGCCAGGAGGGGAGTTTGCACCCACCTGTGAGGGTGGCCGCGTGGCCCTTGTACATAGTCTGGTCTATGCTGGCAAAAGCTGTGCCCTGGGTGCTGGCAGGAGCAGATGTGTAGGCGAAGCCCACTTGGATTCATCTTGCTCCTTCCCTCCTTCCCTCTCAGCCCTCCACATGCACTGGAGCCGGGCAGACGGAGCAGGCAGAGAGCATGCTTGTTGAGAGAAAAGCCTTTATTTATTTAAATTTAGAACAGCTTTTTTAGTCCTCTGGAAAATATTTACAAACAAATCGTCATTTCTTCTGCTTTCCCTCCTCCACCACGTCAAAGACTGAAGGGTGGCATCCTGCGCCTGTCCTAGTGGTGTGAGGTAACATACGGTTGTCCCGGGGACGCCTCTCCCACAGGAGCCCAGTGCTGTGTCGGGGAAGGAGGAGCAATGCTGGCTCCTCAGGCTGCTTGGCACAGGCACCTCTCCCTCCAGCCTGGGTCTGGGAGGTGGATGAAGGTTATTTCAGGAGGATTTGCAGGGCTGAGCACCTTCCTCTGCGCTCTCCTCTCTGCCGTTCCTGGGTCTGCATTTTTGCTTGAAAATAGTGAAAATCGGAGCAGCCTTGAGCTGTTTCTGGTCGCAGGAGCAATTCCTGCACTGATTCTCAGGTGCTCTGGGGCCACTCCCTGCAGGCAGGCTGCCTGCAGCTCCCTGCTTTGGGGGTGAGGGGAGATGGTCAGCATGGCAGGGGAGCAGTCCTAGGTGGGTGCAGGGCACTGAGTCCAGCTTCACGTGGTGCCCAAGGGCTGGACCCTGGTGACTTTGTGGCTCTCTGTGCCCCGTGCAGGTCAGGAGGAGACCAGCTGCATCCCCCGGCCCCAGTGCCCACAGGAGTGCACCTGCCTCGACACCGTCGTCCGCTGCAGCAACAAGCACCTCAAGGCTCTGCCCAAGGGGATCCCCAAGAATGTCACGGAGCTGTGAGTGGTGGGCGAGTGCCCAGGATCTCCCCCTGATTTCCAGCAAGTTCATGGCTCTGGGCAGGGGTTGTCTGCTCTGGGGTTGCTGGTGTTGGGGCAGAGATGCACCTTCCTGCACCTCCATCCCAGCTGGGTAGTGGGAGGAGGATGCCCACCCAGCCAAGGGACCCTGTCCAGCCCTGACCCCAGCACAGGGATCAGCAAGAGCCTTTCTAAAGACTCAGGGTTACCAAGGGTGATGTGCAAGGGGTCTTGTCACAGTGGCCAGGTCCTGCTCTTCAGCCCTTTGGAGGGGACAGCCACCCCCTGCAGCTGTGGTCCTCACCTGACTGTGCTGCCCAGGTCTTTGTGGTCCCCAGCAGCCTGCTATCAGTGACAGGGATGGGGCCACCCTGCTTCTCCCAGCTCCCTAGCCCCTCTCTGCTGTCACCCCTCCCCTCCCCATGGCTCCGGGGATGCTCGTGGCAGCACTGGCTCTGAGCACACAGGGTTGCAGTTTTCTTGGGGTCAGCCACCCATCAGCGTGGGGGGTCAGGGCGATACCCAAGCAGCCATACCCTGTCTGGATCTGCAGAGACCATGATGCTCATTGCACCCGGGCTCTGCACCCATCTGGGATGCAGCAGGTCCTGTGTGCAGGGGGTGTAGGCACTGGTTGTGCACATGCATGTGTGTACCACCCCCTCACACCCCTGCGCTGTCTTGCACATCCCTCCTCTCTCTGTATCCTCTGCTCTCTCTCGCACATGCCTTGGGAGCGGTTACGGCCGCCCACGCTCACATCAGATGTGTAAATGCAGCACATGGCTGGCTGCGCTCGCACGCGCCGGCTGCTGAGAAATTGCTCCTGGGGACCTGCATGCAGAGCCCCCGGGAGTACTAATGCACTTGCACGTCAGCTCCCTGCCAGCCCAGGGGTCCCCCGAGAGCCCCACAGACCCTGGGTGCCGGGAGGGAGGTGATGCTGGAGATGCTCCTTGTAGCCTAAAGTCTGTGGGGGTCCGTAGGAAAAACGAGAGGGTGGAGGGAGGGACCTCCCACTTCTCAGCTGCCCCAAGGTGCTTTCATTCTCCCTTGCAGCTACCTGGATGGAAACCAGTTCACTCAGGTCCCAGGGCAGCTCTCCACCTTCAAGTACCTGCAGCTTGTGTAAGTAGCTGGGAGCAGGAGCCCAGGCAACCAATCCCACTGCTGGGACCCGTCAGTGAGGACAAGGGCTGTCTCCATGGTGTGTGATCCTGAGGAGGGGCCTGGTGGTGTGCAGAGACCTCTGACATCCCTCTGTGTCCCCCCTCCACAGTGGGATACAGGGGGACAGTGGCAGTGCTGCCATCGCCCTGTGTGACAGCCCTGCTGCTCCCTTGGAGGCTGTGCCACGCTGCTGTTTGTACCCCGTTGCAGCTGAGCAGGCAGGGGAGCAGCGAGGGGACACAGGGCCCAGCTGGCTCCAACCCCTGGGGTTTCTGTTTTCCAGTGATCTGAGCAACAACAAGATCAGCTCCCTGAGCAACTCCTCCTTCACCAACATGAGCCAGCTCACCACCCTGTAAGTGCGGTCCCTGCAGTGTTGTTCCTAGGGGACCCCAAAGATGGGGGGTGCTGGGGACACCAGGGTCTCCCCGCTCTGCCTGGGTGAAGCTGTGGTTTGAGCTGGAGCTGATGTGGGGTGGCTGGGGGGAGCGTGTGACGATGTCCCCAGCAGTGCCCCCGGCGCTGTGTTGCCTCCTCCTTCCCTTCCGCAGGATCCTCAGCTACAACTCCCTGCAGTGCATCCCTCCGCTGGCCTTCGAGGGCCTCCGCTCCCTCCGGCTGCTGTAAGTACCTGCCCACAGCCCTGCTCGGCCCCTTCTCGGCTGCTGCCTGTGTCCCCATGTCCCCTGTGCCTGCCTGGACCCAGGTGCAGGCAGGTGAGCAGGGAACGGGCTGCAGGAGGAGCACGGGGAGATGCATTTGCCCCTCAGAGCAGATGAGGCATTTGCAACAGTGACACTGCAGTGAGGTCCCGCTCTGCCACCCACACCTGGACCCAGCTGGCTGTGGTCTTTGCTGCCCACCTTGGACCCGTAGGGATTGCAGGTCCCTCTGTTCTCTGCAGGTCTCTCCATGGCAATGACATCTCCAGCCTCCCTGAGGGCATCTTCGCAGATGTCACCTCCCTGTCCCACCTGTGAGTATCTCCTATTCTGCAGGGCACAGGGCTGGACGCAGGCTCGGGAGACCTTTAAAAACGATGGGGCTGAGCCCAACTTCTCTTGGGGCTGAGCTGCCTCCTCTCCTGTTCTCTGGGCTGGTACTTGGGACAGTGTTTGTGGGGCAGTGCTGTGCCTGCACTCCCTTCGCTCAGCCCCAAGGTCCAGGTGTGCAGCTGAGCCTCCCAGTGCCCCTGGGATGGCCCTATGGTCCTTGTTGGAGGTGGCATGGGGTCACCCCCACACCATCAGGTCCTCGGGGTCCCCTAACACATAGGTCAAACCACACAAGGTGCTGGCACGGCTGTGGGTCAGCGGGGTCTGCTCTGGCCCATGCCAGCCTGTCTTTAGGTTCCTGCCAGGGCGCTTCCCTGCAGCAGCCCCCAAAATCTGTCATCAAGCATCCTCCTGCTGGTGCTGGTGTGAGGGAACCTGTACCCCAGGAGCACAGCCCCGCACCCACCGCCCAGAGCAGGGGCTCAGCTTTGCTCATGGTGATTTTCTGGTCCCTTCCCTGTCCCTGCTATGCCATTCCCACCTGTCTGCTGGTGGCCCATCCTGCTCCTGGCACCCTGCTGGGGGTCTCAGGCTGTTCCTCCAGCCTGTGGGAAGCATCTTGATTCCTGATCTTGGCCTCCCTGCATTTTTTTCAGGAGCAGCAGTTAAACTGCTCGGTCTGGTCTTCCCTGGCTCTTTGTTCCCTTTCCAAAGCCGGTGCTGCCTTTGCTGCTGTCAGCCAGCGCTGCCGGTTCCCGCAGGGCTGAGCTGTGTCACCAGCTGGCGCTGTCGGTGCTGTAGGACCAGGTCTGTCAGCCCCAGCAGATCTGCTGTCCCTACTGCCTGCCTTCTGGGCTGCCATCTCCTTCCTTCCTCACAGGTGTGGGCCACCCTGCCCTCTGTCACCGCTAACCTTTGCAGTGAAGGAGGCTGCAAAGAGGCATCCAACCCGTCAGCCTCCCATGTCATCTGCTGCTCCCTGTCCCATTGCAGAGCAGAGCAACCCTCCCTCCTTCCTCCTCCTCTCTGGGAGCGATTCCTTGCTCTCCCCTTATGCTGTCGCCATGAGCTCAAGCTGTGACCTGCTACTTGTCCCCAGCAGCCCACTCCTGTGTCCCTGCCCTGCATGCTTCTGCAGCAGAGCCCAGGCTGGCCCCACAGCTCCCATGCAATGGTCGTGTTATTTCTGCACAGCCTCGAGGTGCTTTGCTGGGTTTGTGTTGGGCCCAGGCAGCTTTCCCCAAGTGCTGGAGAAGGATTCCCCAGGATTTCTGTGTGAGCAGCCAGAGGAGAGCCCCAGCACAGAGCCATGGGGCACCACATAGGCTGTGGGGCTGGCAGGAGGGTGGTCTAATGGGACAGCAGTGTGGGGCTGAGTGCCCCAGTCCTCCCACTGTGGGCAGCACCTCGGGTTGGTCCAGAAATGGAGGATCACTGGGTCTCTCCGTCACGCGGCAACCCAGCCAAGTCACCAAGTCCTGTGCCATCCCAAGGTTTCTGAGCCTGGTTCCCTCTGTGGGGCAGCAGGTGCAGTTTTGCTCTTCCTTCCCCTCCAGAGCCATCGGGGCCAACCCCCTGTACTGCAGCTGCAACCTGCGCTGGCTCTCCAGCTGGGTCAAGACGGGGTACAAGGAGCCAGGCATCGCCCGCTGTGCTGGGCCCCCTGACATGGAAGGCAAGCTGCTGCTCACCACCCCTGCCAAGAAGTTCGAGTGCCAAGGTGAGAGGTGCTCGTGCTGTCCATCTGTCCATCCTCAGGCAGGGCAGCAGGTGTCATGGGGAGCTGGGCTACCTCTCACCCCTGCCTGGCAGAGCGATGCTCTGTGAGTCTGGGGGACTCCAGTGTTTCATCCGTTGAGCTGCCTTGTGGAGGAGGGGGACCAGGATGCTCTGTCCCCTTGCCTGGCTGGTGACATGTCCCTGGTGACAAAGCAAGCATATGACTGTCCCACTGCCTGTTGTGCAGCCCCTCGGCGGGGCAGACTCTGCTCCCAGCATGGCTGGGGCTCTGCCCCCCATGTCAGTCCCCACAGACAGACGCCTCCGCATCACGCCCCACGCTGACAGTCATCTCCGCACCTCCCATCCTGCAGGCCCACCTGCCCTGAGTGTCCAGGCCAAGTGCAACCCCTGCCTCTCCAGCCCCTGCCAGAACCAGGGCACCTGCCACAACGACCCCCTCGGCTTCTACCGCTGCGCCTGCCCCAGCGGCTACAAAGGACCCTTGCCCCAGCGGCTACAAGGTACCCTGGTCCTGGGGGTCCCCAGATGGGGGGGACCCATCCCTGCAGAGGGGAAGGGGGCAGCGCAGGGACTCTGCCGTAACCCCAGTGCTCACTGCCTGCAGGACCGTCCTCCCTCCCTGCACAGCGCAGTGCCCCGCTGAGTGTGACAGGGCAGGGGAAGTGGGACAGGGTGCTATGGCACCCTCCTGGCTCCCACCTCTCTCTCTTTCCCCAGGGCAGGGACTGCGAGGTGGCCCTCAGCGGCTGCTCCTCCAACCCCTGTGCCAACGGGGGGACCTGCCAGCCCCAGGAGGAGGAAGGAGTGGGGTTCAGGTGAGTGCTGGATGGGAACCCACAGAAGACGGGTGTTTGGGCAGCAGTGTGGAGCCCCAGCATCCCACAGAGATCAACTCTGATGCTTCCTTCCCCTCCTGCGTGCTCCCTGGGGTGAGCTGGGATATTGCATTCACCCAGCAGCTGCAGCCCAGGCTGCCGGCTCTCTGCAGCCCTGCCTGCACCTCCTGCCAGCACAGCACCAGCAGGGCTGGGCACTGTCTCCGCTTCCCTGTGCCCCCCAGCCCTGCAGGCTCCTCGGGGAGAGGGGGTCCCGCTGCCACAGGAGGTATGGGGAGGCAAAGGGCAGCAGGATTTGGGGCTGGGATCCAACTGCTGCAGCAGGACTGACTGTGGAATGGGGCAGGATGTGGCTCTGTGAGGCTGCTGTGCCCCCGCGCAGCCCTCGCTACCCCGAACGCTTCAGGCTGTTCTGGGAACTGGGGTGCAATTAGGGGCTAAAAATAGACAGCAGGCTGGGGGTGAGGAGGGGGGCTGCGCAGCCGCCTGGTCCCCCCTGCACTGAGTGGCCTCAGCCCGTTGTCGTGGCAACTCAGCATCCTCACCTTGTGCTCTGTGTGGGGCTGTGCGCTGCCACCCTCCCCTGTGCCCGGTATTTGGCAGGGGGGGCACCGAACCCTGCTCCCCGCAGCCTCTCGGTGTGCAGGCATGTTCTGTGACCAAGATCCTCTGCTGGAATTTTTTGGGTAACGCTCTGTTTCCCACCCCCTGATGCTCCCCTGCAAGGAGCACAGCTGCAAGAACGGGGGCTCCTGCATGCCCGGTGCCACCAACTACCCCTGCCTGTGCCCTGCCCGCTACACAGGTACCCAGCACGTGGGCTGGCCGGCCCCAAACCTCGCAGGCCTGGCAGGACGATGTGCACAGTGCTTCTCCCTTCCCACCCATGAGGACTAATAGCTCCTCCGCTTGCTGTCCCAGTGCCTATCACTGTGATCTCTGGGATCCTCTGGTCCCAGCCGCCTCAGTTTGGGTGCACCCAGCTGAGCCCCCATGCCCTGGGGTGCCCTGGGATGTCCCCACTGCCCAGCTGGGGCAAG